CAACTTCTTTGAAATAGGCAGACACTAAATGGCTTGAATTGCACTGGCATGCATTTGTTACCATGACAATGACTTGTCACAGGAAGCGCTAACTTCACATAGCACAAGCGTCACCCGGCGATGCCATGTTGTAAACAAACCACCTGAAGCAGCTAAGCTAACACGACTTAGCATAGTTTCATTTTAGGCTAAGCTACTCAAATAGCTTTAACAATTAGGGGTTAGCACCCCTTTACTTGAAGCTTTTATTTAACCTAATCCCTGGTTTCTGAGTTTTCACTTTCTTTTCCTTCTTTTTCTATGTTTCACAATCTTCAATTCGTTTCAGCGAATTTAACTATCTTAGATGTATCCTTCCTGAATGCTATTGCTCAGTTACTAGCTAATTAAATCTAAATTTAATTACATTTTAACTGTCTATCTAGAGAAGAATCATTAAGTTATTGGGTGTTTTTAGTAACACAGAGAATAACGTGCTACGGAGGGCGGGGCACACACATGGCAAAATCCAGCATGGGAGCTGAACACGCAGCAGCTGTGACCAGACATGGTGTGTTGCCCAACACAAATCAGTTAATCACGAGTGCTACTGATTGTTCCTAATATCAGATTGATTACCCTGTTTTAATAATAGAAGTCAGCTAATTTTAAATCCATTTACATGTTATGCCCCCTTGATGTTCTCTCTGAACCTAAAAAGGAACCAGAGACATTTCTATTTTTGATTTGTTTATTTTCAAAAATAATCAGCATAATCTGAAGAGAAATGCTCTCCTTTTCCTTCTGCTTTTCCCTTTTCTCCTTCATACCTCAGAGATGAAGCTTGTTTGGGGAACCGTCAGCAAATTCTGAGGGATAATTTGACAATAATTTGACAGTAGTCTTAAATCATCAATCAAAATCCTGTTTACGCCCTTTTCAGCAAAACATATGCTGACCCAAAACTATTTTAGCATTCACACTCTGTTTTGATCTTGTAGTAGTCTCTAGCCCTTACGCTCAACACAAGTGTGCCATAATGTTGCAGATGCTCAGACTAACTGCCCAGAATGCAGACCAGAGAGGGCTGGCCAGGCGTCGTGAGGAACACCCCCTTTACCCAGGCCCGACGACCACCTACTGAGCCGAAAGCAACTGGACACAGAGAGAGAAGTGTACCTCAGACTCAGGACTCAAGCGAGAGTTATGGCTACAAAAAGCTCGCCAAGGTCATCACCCTCCGTGGCCCACAACCTCATGGGTCTGAAACAGGAGGTAAATGATCTCAAGCAACAGATCACAGCGGTAGCCCACAAGGACCCCAGCAAAATGGAGCTACAGGAGGAAATCAATAGATTTAAAAAGGCTCTGACAGCTGCTGAACAGCAAGAGCACCTGGAAAAGGTAGCCAGAAAGGACCTGGAAAGGAAACACCCACACAAAATTACTATTAAAGCAGCAAATTCTGAGCTCTTAGACAAAGTTGCCAGAATTGAGACTCTGATCCAGCAGCTGAACAACACTCAAAACAAACTTGACATGGTCCAAAGAGAACTCAGGTACTCTTATAGGCTGCAAAAGGAAACACAGTGGGAGAAACACCCTACTCCTGCATCCTCACTCAGCAGTGCAAAACTCCCTCAGGTGCACGAAGCTACGAAAGGGGGAGCCAGCACTTTCTGCTTAACAACTCAGCAGACAGACCCATAATACCTCCAGCAACCACAGAGAGGAGGGGGTCCCGTCCAAGCATCCCTGCAGCAGCGCATGATGTGACCCCCAGAAACTTTGACAAGCTAGCCAGAAAAATCCCGGCATTCACATTGCTGGGGAAACAATAGTTTCCTACTTTAGGCAGTACGAGCAGTAATTTAGAACGGTGGAGTCGTTTTAAACAGTGCTTTTGCAGATGCTCAGACTAACTGCCCAGAATGCAGACCAAAGAGGACTGGCCAGGCGTTGTGAGGAACACCCCCTACCCAGGGCTGACGACCACCTACTGAGCCGAAAAGCAACTGGACACAGAGGGAAGAGTACCACAACCTCATGGGTCTGAAACAGGAGGTAAATGATCTCAAGCAACAGATCACGGCGGTAGCCCACAAGGACCCCAGCAGAATGGAGTTACAGGAGGAAATCAATAGACTTCAAAAGGCTCTGACAGCTGCTGAACAGCAAGAGCACCTGGAAAAGTTAGCCAGAAAGGACCTGGAAAGGAAACACCCACACAAAATTACTATTAAAGCAGCAAATTCTAAGCTCTTAGACAAAGTTGCCAGAACTGAGACTCTGATCCAGCAGCTGAACAACCCTTAAGACAAACTTGACATGATCCAAAGAGAACTCCGGTACTCTTATAGGCTGGAAAAGGAAACGCAGTGGGAGAGACACCCGACTCCTGCATCCTCACTCAGCAGTGCAAACTCCCTCATATGCACCAAGCAACGAAGGGGGGAGCCAACACTTTCTGCTTAACAACTCAGCAGACAGAACCATAATACCTCCAGAACCACAGAAAGGAGGGGGGTCCCTAGGCATGTGTCTCACTGGCCCCTTGCAGGATCACAGCCTCCACAAGTCATCAAGCAAGGGACAGAACAATTTTAGTTTTAAATGACACTGAAAACCAGCATTCAACACTGCTCTTTTAAGACAGTATTGCAAAAATAGTCAAGTAAAGCAGAATGCCATAAGAGATTGTGCATTACAGTGATTTTACCACAGGGTGTGTGTTGCAATCATGGTATAATTATATATAATACTGTTTAAAAGTTTGGTGTCAGTATGATTTTTTTGATTTTCGAAAAAAAAAGTTGAAAGACGTTTCTTATGCTCATCAAGGCTGCCTTTATTTATAAAATAAAGTAAAAACAGTGATATTGTGAAATTATTACAGTTTAAAATGACTTTTCTATTTTAATGTTTTTTAAAAAAGTAATTTACTCCTATGATGGCAAAGCTGAATTTTCATCTAATATTCTTAGATGAATAGAAAGTTTATTTGAAAAAAGAACAACATGTATATGCTGACCCCAAACGTTTCAATGCTAGTGTATATAAATGTATCTCTAATAATTTAAATAAACAGTATTTTAATATAGTCAATACATGTAGACTGTTTAAGGTTGCTGAACCAAATAGTAAATGGTGGTTCAAGATAGTTGAGAAAAAAAAAACACTTAGATTAAAAAAGAAAATAAGTAGACCTCAACGTAAGAAAAATTCCATAATTTAAAAGATGGAATAAAATGTCATTATCTTTAAATGTCAGGTTTTAGCAAAATGGAACAGCTTTAATCAAACAAACAGCTGGATGAGAGGCATTTAATTGTTCAAATTTGTGTTTTAGAAGGAGCAAAGTGATGAGAGTGATTGGACTGATGGCCTCCCACTGCACAGAACTCCGAGATAACGTTCCTGTCACAGAGGTGAGACTTGTGTGTCTGTGTGTTTAAAGCAAGATGGACATTTTCACATTAAAACATGACATTTTTTAAAATAACGAGAGACACCAGCAGGTGTCACTGTAGCATTTCTGGTTTTGCTTATTCTCAGCTTCCACTCAGAGGAGAAAATACTAAACAAAAAAAATTATTTTCCAATAATCTCAATCCAAAGCACTTGAAATCCATTTAAAGCCAGGTAAAATTAGCTTTATACATCTCTATCTCAGCATTTCCAAATACAAAGGCAAGCATCTCATCCAAACAGGGTTATAAAAGCTTTCACTAATCATCAAAGTGCTGCACAGATGCATTGTTGTTAATAAAAAAAACAACTTCTTCCACGCCGATCCTTGATTTAACACTCGTTTGTCTTCCGTTTCCGCTATGAACTTCCCCACCTCTTTGTTCATGGAGATTTTCGCAGCACCACCCAGACTCTGCATGGACAGCAGCACAAAATGGCCGTTCCTCGTAATCTAGCAAGGCCGAGTTTTTGGGGTGTTTCACACAATACAGGCATAAACTTTGCAGCTTCTCTCGGCGATGACTTCTTTCTCACTTTTCTGGGGTCAGTGGGTCGGTATTGAAGAAGTGCTCGGGGTGACAGACTCTCTTCCCGGTGCTCTATGGGGGTTCTGTGTCTGAGCGGCCGATCCTGTCATGGCGATTTCTTTCAGTGCTTCTCTTTGGCGAGAGAAAAGCAGAGCTGCTTTCTTACGGTTCTTCTGCACTCCTAGAGGGCCTTCCTAGATAATATTTTGAGCTAAAGGCTGGAATACACTACATGATTTTTAAAATATTAACAGATTTTGTAAATGGGTACAGAAGAAAACTGGGCATCATACACTAAATTACTGAAGATTACATACTACAGATTTTCAGGTTGTTTCAAACATAAACTTACGCAGAAACATGCACCTCATTGCTAGGGGACACATGACATATAAAAGGAGTATATGTTCTAAAATCGGTTTAAAATATGAAAGACTGCTGTTACAATAGCACAATAAATTCAGATCTGCACACATATAAACAAAACAAACAAAAAAAACTGCACGAGATCCATTTTTTCACTTCTAAATGTAATTTTAAATAAGAGACATCTGATATCTGGACATCTGTCCTACAAATACGTTGAAGCATGCATATATATGAGGGTGACACATTTACCCTCAAAATATTTTTTTTTCCTCTGCATGTTGTATTATGTATTGTCTTTTTATTTAGGCAGAGACTTTATATAGATTTATAATACGACTCTCTGGAATACTTGATTCTGATTGTCACGACTGACCATTCTGAGGTGTCTTATTCCCTGATAACAACAGTCGTCAATAGCAATCCTGAAAAACATATTGCTCATCTGGCTATCTTAAACTGGCACTTCTTTCATCTCTCTGGCATCACTTTACAAACTCGCTCTCTCATTTCATACAAATGCAGCTGCTGCCATCTTGTGTCTCTGTTTTAGTTATTATACTATTAATTTCAGTAACTTCAATATAGTACTGCAATATTTTTGCTGTGTTCATCTTATTGCCAGGATGATTGTTTAGTACAATGTAATGGATTATAAAATAATAAACAAGTGAGAAATTTAAAAGGGATTAATCTCAAAGCATTATCTCATGTGCCCATACTTATGTAAGTGCTGAAAAGCTGTATAAGAAGAGGTATGATTGTACCGTATTCCTTAAAGGGGTCATGAACTGAGAGATCAAAATTCCCTTGATGTTTTGACATAAGAAGTCATTGTACTATTAAAAACATCCTGTAAGTTTCAGAACTCAGAACTTTCTTGTTAGTCTAAAAACAGCTTATATTGAAGCCAGTCTGCAAAAACGACAGGTTGTGGAATTTTATTCCACACGCCACTTTATGACGTAATAGTTTGGCTAAACACAGCCTCCGCAGAAGAAGATCAATGCCTGCTTCTACATCACTGTCTGTTTAGCTCCGCCCACTGATTTGCGCCTGCAGTAAGTAAATAATGAGAGAGGTGTAGCGTCTGGACCAATCAGACACACCATTTTTCATTTGATTTAACAAATCAATTATTCATTAGATTAACAAACGTTCACAGACCCCTCACCCAATAAACATACTGGGTGCCAAGTTGTCTGTGAACAGGGGCCAGGACCCTGGTTACCATGGCAACCCTGACACCAGATACATTTACGACCTAATGGAATGCGAAGCAGGGAAAATCACTGCATGTTCCATCGCAAGAGGCACAAGGCACAGTCGAAATGGACTTTTCTACTAATTCATAGGAAAACCTTTCTTTGAATGAACCGTATATCCTTCAGGTCATGGTGTATGTTGTCTTTGATATTTTTAGGCTATTTTATGCATGCTTATGATGGAACCCATTCCTGTCATCCTGCCTATATGTAATCCTACCATGTTTAGTATCTATGAATTCGCCTTCTGATGATCGAAACAAGCGTGTATATTATATGTTGGTACATAGGCAATATATTAGTGTCCTGAGAATCTTTAGTAATTTCGATTCAAGTTCCATATGCAAATTACCACGCTTCCACAAAAAGAGTCATAAAACTCCCCAGTATCTCAAAATTCCCACTTGGGATACCGGCTTTTCTCATTGGACAAGCCCATCTTGAGAGGCGGGTATCTTCTCCGACCTTAAAGGTATCACACCATGTGACCCGCCCAGAGTCGTTGGTTTGTTTGAATTCTGAGAAGATGTGAGCTGCAATGCTCCAGGACATCCTTAAGTACGTGCCAGGCTTCGGCCTTGACTTTTCCATTCATCAAGATTCTCTGACGCAAACTGGCTCTTTTTCATCAACCAACTTCAGCAAAGATCAACTTGAACCGTTGGACCGCATCAAGCCTTTCTTTCAGACAGACGAGACGTGCAAGTATTCATACGTAGTCTTATTAATTGATACATTAGGTATCATTTGCACCTTTTTACAAAGATGTGTTTGAACTAAGAATCTGATGTTCCCTTCAGGCTGTAGATCTGCTGAATATGCAAATGGTTCCATAACTTCATATTCTTATTTTCTCTTCTCTCTACTGCGTTAAGCTTTAACCCTTTCCTATACCAACTGTGTGTGTGTGTGTGTATGTTGGACCAGTTCAAGTGTTTATGTAGTATGTTAAACTAGTTTAAGTGTTTATGTAGTTAATAAAGTCTTATTTGTATCACACTTGACGTTGTTCATTGTTTGCTCATAACTGGAGTCACTTAATCATGCAGATTTATGCTACAAGCTCTTTGTAGAATTGTACAGTAAGAAAGTTATTTCCCTTAACCAGGAAATTAATGTTCTTAGAATTGACAGACAGTTGACCCTGAGAGGTCAGCTAAATATCTACAGCGGATCTAAATATTTATAATTAATTATAACTAGTTATGATTAATTATTCATATTTCCCCATGAGCTGATTCGCTACAGAGGCAAATGCAGGTCTATGCAGAAACCAAATGATAATGATGCTCCAAAGACAAGAAGTTTGTGCAGTGCCAAGTTGTGGAAAAACATGGTCTTTGCATCTGATCTCAACATTAGGAAAGAGTGGATGAAGTTCCGGATCGTGTCAGTAAGAACGTGGTCCTTTTGTCACTTAATTTCACCGTGGATTCATTTACAAACAAGGCACAATTTCACATGGGATTAAATGGTTTATTTAATGGTTGCTCATTCATCTTGACTAAAAGACACTTGCTAGGAACCATTTTTCCCCGAAAGCTTGGTTTTAGCTGATCACCACTTCAGGGTGATCCCCTTGTCGGGGTTTATTCTGCTATAAAAACTGGCTAAATGTACTTTACTCCTCATGCGAGAGATTGCGCACACACAGAAACAATCAGAAGCACAGAAACTTGTTTTGAGACACTGACCTCCGAGAATTTTATAAACAAAATGGCTTCACTACTAATGCCTGTTAATGTCGCTATTTTTGAAATAAGATTCATTCAAATATGAGTGGATGAAGTTCCGGATCGTGTCAGTAAGAACGTGGTCCTTTTGTCACTTAATTTCACCGTGGATTCATTTACAAACAAGGCACAATTTCACATGGGATTAAATGGTTTATTTAATGGTTGCTCATTAATCTTGACTAAAAGACACTTGCTAGGAACCATTTTTCCCCAAAAGCTTGGTTTTAGCTAATTCATTATTTAAACTTAAATCAATATTTTGTGTCCAGTTATTTACTTATGCGGGAACTAGCTATGTAATAAATGGGAGAATGTACATTTAGCCAGTTGTTATCGCAAAATAAATCCCTTCAGGAAACAACCCTGATCACCACTTCAGGGTGATCCCCTTGTCGGGGTTTATTCTGCTATAAAAACTGGCTAAATGTACTTTACTCCTCATGCGAGAGATTGCGCACACACAGAAACAATCAGAAGCACAGAAACTTGTTTTGAGACACTGACCTCCGGGAATTTTATAAACAAAATGGCTTCACTACTAATGCCTGTTAATGTCGCTATTTTTGAAATAAGATTCATTCAAATAAATTTCATTTTACTGCTTTTACTTTATTTCACCTCAGCATTATAAATCTAATGACCTGTAGATAAAATAGCTTTTGAAAATCTTTTTTATCCCTTCAGTCAAATTTTATGCTGCAAACTTTGAAACATCTTTAAATTGTCCATGCTGGCAAGAGATCATTGTATAATTGGCATAATCACATCTGATGTGCATTAAAGTAAAAAACAAACAAAAAACACCCGATGTAAATTATATAAAGTTTCAAAACCCAAGGGTTAACCAGGTCACTGAAAGCCATCACCAATGGAATCATACTAGTTTGGGGAGAAATTAATGTAAACACAGATACTGTATACAAGCCTTGTCTTAAGTGAATGTAAACAGGTGAGACAACAATCAGATATGGTCAGAAGATCAGATCTGTGCATTGAGCCTTTCATTGTATAAGTACATGCCGGCAAGCATGTTTGATTTCATGAAACAAAACTAAATCCGTCTGCTCATCATACAAGTGATGTTCTGTGAAACTGGTCAAATCATGGCGACTGCAAATCATGGCAACAATCAAGGCAAAAGTTGTGTAGTGTATTCCAGCCTTAATTGTACATTATTTCTTGAGAGATTTTATATCAAATGAAAGTCACAATAAGGATTTTGAGCTGTAATGACTGTTCTTTGTGCATGCTGGAAGGTTTGCAATAAGAGCATCCTCATAGATAAGTTTCACCCACTGGCAGTATCCATTATCTAAAAGAAACTTGGGCTAATTCGTTGTCATGGCAACCATAAAAGCCTCTATAAATAGAAATGTCGCACAGGGGCTTGATGCAGGAGGAAGGAAATTACAGAATTACAGGTAGAGCAGAAAAGTCTCCTCAGAAAAATTTCAATTGCTTTTCTTTTTTTTGCGCGCTTGGGTCCTTCTCCCTCTGACGTTCAGTTAGCTCTCTAATCCTCCCTGAAACCCTCTGTGCCTGTTTTTGCCATGAATACTTGAACACTAGTCTAATGAAGTGGTAAATTAATCATTGTCCTTGGCACCGGCAATCCCCCGTGCCCCTAGCCTAAATTCACAGTTACTCTCAGAAGAGTCTAACAGTGTTTCCCCTGACCAATCCCATTACACACTGCTAAGAATTACAGCGGAGCCATCTGAAGGAGGTACCACAGGGATGAGCCGGTTTAAATTTTTTTCACTTCTTTATTTATTTGATGGTAAACTATTTTCTGGAAAGTCATTTTAAAGTTACTTCTGCCATATATATTTCATAGAGAAATGTATTAAAAATCCAGATTCTGTCAGTGCATAAAGGCATCGCCATCTGCGCGCTTGGGTCCTTCTCCCTCTGACGTTCAGTTAGCTCTCTAATCCTCCCTGAAACCCTCTGTGGCTGTTTTTGCCATGAATACTTGAACACTAGTCTAATGAAGTGGTAAATTAATCATTGTCCTTGGCACCGGCAATCCCCCGTGCCCCTAGCCTAAATTCACAGTTACTCTCAGAAGAGTCTAACAGTGTTTCCCCTGACCAATCCCATTACACACTGCTAAGAATTACAGCGGAGCCATCTGAAGGAGGTACCACAGGGATGAGCCGGTTTAAATTTTTTTCACTTCTTTATTTATTTGATGGTAAACTATTTTCTGGAAAGTCATTTTAAAGTTACTTCTGCCATATATATTTCATAGAGAAATGTATTAAAAATCCAGATTCTGTCAGTGCATAAAGGCATCGCCATCTGCAGCGCCTTGTGCCGGAGGGAGTGAATATTTCAGAGTTTAATTTTAAGTGGCACACAAGAGTATCGGTGTGATTGGAAACTAGTGAGAGAGTATCAAGGGCACTCTGTTTCTCCCTCGCTCTGCCCCCTGGACGTCTAAGACACAGTTTGACTGCATTTGTCTGACTGACTCTGGGAATAATATTGATTTTCTGAGCCTCAGTTGATCAGATCTGCATCTCACAATACATCCTCTATGGAAACTCCCACTTCTTGTGTCCTTTGTCTTGCACTGTCGATATCGTTGTTAGGATTATGAATTTTAAATATGGTTTTTGGTGTGACACTATTTTCATCCAAGGTCTACAAAGTCAAAATATTACTTAAGTTGGAAAACTCTTAATGCGAGTTTAAGTGATTTACATTATAAATATATATTTTTTTACTTTTTAATTAGTCAAAAAGAAAATATGCTGGCTGATAAAATTCTCCACTCATTCATTTACTTCCACATTATATTAACATCATTAGAGAGATTTCAGAAACTGACTGAAATGAGGTAGGAGTTGCATGAACACACATTTGCACACTTCAATGGATATTGATTTGGATTAACTTTGGTAGTTTCTTCATATGGGCACTTTTAACTCATGTAGAGCTACTCATTAGATAAGATGCTAGACAAAGAGATTCTAGTATGTTACTCTCTTTGTAATTGATCTGACAGTCTTCATGAACTTACTGTATCAAGTTTACATACTAATATAGAAGTCATTTTAGAAGTCATGTCGTTTTATCCAACAGAGATCAAATATAGATTTATATCAATAGACATCTAATTTTGTGTCTTGCTGGACACTCAATTTTGGTTCTTATGTTACTGTCTTTATTTTACCATGCAGAATTCTTCCACAATTCAGAATAATAAGGCCAAATGATATATAATAAACTATATGTTAACATGATTGAATAACACAAAATTAAGTAGGGAAATTATGTAGTGATAAAATATCATAAGATCAACGCCTGCAGCTACATCACTGCTTATTTAGCCCCACCCACCGATTTGTGCATGTAGTGGAAATAACGAGAGATGCAAATGCAGGTCTACCCAGAAACCACACGATAAAGCTTCGAAGACAACAAGTCGCTGTACAGTGCCAAGTTGTCGACAAACAGTCTTTGCATCGTCTTCCTTCTGAGATGTTCTCTTTAAGACTTTTTTCAAAAACATCTTACTGACTACAAACTTTTGAGCAATAGTGTATATATTTCAAAAAATTATCTCTTATTTCTGATATCTTATGTCTGAATATCACAGAATGAGTTTCATCATACTCCTGCAAATATAAAACATCCTAATGAGCTGTATTAATTAATATGCACGGCATGACAGAGTGACATTAGTGACATCAAGTGTAACAACAACACAGGTGTATTACCATAAAGTTGATCAGAGCTAATGGACTGCAGATATATACACAGAGACAGCTGTTCCTTAAACATAAAACCCTATTAAAGTGCAAATCATCACTAGAACAATGAGATTAAACATATTAAACTACAAGAGAGAGAGTTTTGGATTAGCTTTGTTTGTATTAAGGATAGGATTGCTCTCCGGTGGCACAGTGCAGCATTAATTATGCTTAATACACATGTTTGATAATGAGCCAACTAGACCTCAGGTAGAATCCGGCTCAGTCTCTTCAGTCTTGAGTTTCTACCTGATTTCAGGACAGAGGATTGCTCCGCGGTCTTCTCCAGTATGCAACCTCTGTACAGCTTAAACCTTTTAATACCCAGCTTGACGCACACGCTATGTGTGTGTGTGTGTGTGTGTGTGTGTCAACAATAATGTTTTCTAAAGCAGGATAGCATGTGTGTTTGTGCATGTGGATAATAGCAGCATGCTCTAGAAGGGAATTTGTGTGTGTGTTTGTTGATGATAATGATACGTTCTAGAGCAGGAATTACTTTGCATGCGTGGCTGAATAAGACAGCTTAGCCTTGTTTGTTTCTTCCTGTGTAAAAGGAATCATCACTGCACGTCTCTCGCTGCCAAGACTCATCAAACATAGCCGCCGAACATCTGTTCCCTGGAAAGTCATCACTTATGAGACTTTAACGGTCACAGGGCCAAAAGTGCTACACAGGGCATTTGCATAGCATCCTACTAAGAGAACGACTGCAAAGAGAAAAGCATACATACTTGCTCATCTGAACACTCAGAGAGACAGAAGATAATACAATGCTAATGCTTAATGCCAGAGATCTGTGGATGAGACTTGTATTTAAAAACACAGGCCAAAAACTGCAGGGAAACAGACCAAATGTATTTGAGTCATCCTGAACTCGTGGCATCTAATCAAATGCTTTATAGTAAGAAATTTGTCTCTTTTGGATATTAAACTTTTCCTGCCCAGTGTCTTTTTGGAAAATATAGACACAGGAAGCAAAGCTCACCCCTGTGTCATATTAAAACCAGTTTTTCTTAAATTGTTGGAATATAATGGAATATAAATGGAGATGTTTTAATGTTCTCTCATGTTTTTTGTCTGTCCAATGGAAGTTTGCACCAGAATTGTCAACCTTTCAAAAGTTCATAAAGCTTGTAATAATCCATTTGAATCAAGTGGTTTCATTAATAATGTCTTCTGAAGAGACACAATCACTTTGTATTACTTAGATTTTATTCACATAAAACATTGATCAACGCACATACATAGAGCACATCTAATATGATAACTGGCAGCTCAAATGTGCTTACTTGCGAAGGTGAATATTTTGGGTGAACTATACATTGAACGAATTTATAGTGCTTATAAATCAAACTATTTATTACAAATTTGTGTTTGTTTTATTCCTCAGGCAGTTGCCCGTTCAAACGACAGGTTGTGGAATTTTATTCCACACGCCACTTTATGACG